TTAAATTTTTGTTCTGAAAGCTTTACTTTGGATGCTAAATACCTAGATCCAGTGTTCTGGAATTTAAAAAATGTAGAATATTTGGGATGCTGCAATGTTTGCCACTTTCTGGTATTTCCTGAGCTGTCATTGGATATCCCAGGTTCCTGACTACCCATATATTCCCGCTTGCAAATGGTGACACTAAAAAAGATGGCTTAGAAAAAAGTAAATTCTTATGAAATGAGTTGTTTGACATGATGCTACTATGGGAATTAAGTGATGCTAACTTTGATCTTGTCTCTCTTATTTGAAATACGACATCTGGGTTGTTTTATGTCTGCATTGACCTGCTAGCAGGAAAAAAATAAATAATTTGTACTATAATTAGGTTGAGAATAATATCTAATGACTCAGGAAGTCTGTGAGATTAACTAGTCTTGGCAAAAGCTTTAAACAAAAGTTAGAAAGCTCAATTCCAAGTGTCTTTTAAATTAAAATTTAATTAAATTTAAAAATCATCATATTCTCAGATCAACAAACTAGTGGGCTTTCTTCTTTCATTTTTAAAAAGCTATATAAATTAAAACGGGTCCCCTCCTTTTTCTGTTATTCACAAGTGGTACATGTTGACAGCCTCCTTTCATGCCCACATGCACGCTCAATTACTCCGTCCCCGGAGCAATCAGAAGAGCAGCAGTGGAGAAGCTAGCCCGGCACTGGGAAATACAGAAAACCAAATCCCAAAACCTCCCGGTGCAGGTCCTCACACACACAAATGCGCTGTGTCTACCCCTGTCCAGCGTGACTTGTGTTGGCATGAACTGTCTCTTGTCTAATGAGCTTCAGAGAAGATTTTGAAATACGTGTTGGGATTATGGAAATGAGAGAATTAAGAATATGAGTATCACAGAGCCCAAGGAACTGTCAGTGACTACTGGGAAGAACACAGCAGTGTAACAAAGAAGAAATGGGATATGGGGCTGATTTTTTCTGAGATTGGAAAACATTCCACCAAGGCCAGATATTATAGCAGAGACAGATGGCATGGCAGATGCGGTGAAAGAAAAATGACTTACTACTAGGTGAATCAGAAAAAATAAACAAGAAGGACAGAGGAAAAAGTACGTGAGTTCCCCTCTGCTGTCAGGAACATCTTCCGGTAGCTGTCAAGTGTCTTACTGCACTCCACAGGGTTGCAGATTGCAGATGAAGTGTCCTACCCCTTTCTCCACAGACCGCACGTTTAGAATTTATAGCCATTTTTTTGAGAGGACCCACTTTTTTTCTATTGGTTTTCTAGGGAGGAAAGGATGGTAACAACTAATTGGATACATGATGCCAATATAGTGTGAAGATGCTACTGCTAATCTTTTTCTGGCTAAATTGGTTGCCATATGATACGTAGAAACTGGATGAAACTCATCTTGGTTTATTTTAGAAATGTTCCCAATTAACATCCTTTCATAGTGCAAATCAAATAAATGGGGTTGGCATTTTAATAAATTGAAATCAAAGTTGTTTAAAATGTGTTTTAGAAAGCTGGGCTGGGTTCTCTCATTAGGTCCCCGGGGTTTAAAATATGTGCCTCAGCAAAATTACAAGTTTGCATGTGTTGTGGCTCCATGGAATTGACAGAAAATGGTTGAAACCAATAAAAATGATCTACAGATGCTAAGGGTCTATTATGAGATACCCAGGCACACACATAGAATACAGTGCCAACATGTGTAGATTTAATATATGAAAATTCAGCAATATGCACTTGGCAACCCTATTGCATCACTTATATCACACAGAAATGGATGCAATTGAGCCTCAAATTGCCAGTGTGAGTTGCTGAAATAAGAAAAGTATGTGAATGATATTAATTATTTTTCGTCCATTACAAAGAAAACAGTGACTAGGCAAGTATCTAGTGATGGTTTTGTCACTATATTTGGAGAAGAAACTGAATAACTAATTAAAAGCTATAGAGTAACATTGACTAACAAAGAATTACTGTAGGGTTTTCGAGGGTGATTTTGATTATACATAACCTTGACTTTCTGTTTTGTTTTTAGAAACACTAATAGCCTCTAAGGTAGACCCCACTGCACATGTACAACTTTCACTCACGTACACACACATATGATTTACAAAATCATTGCAAAAATGAATCTTAATAACAACATGGAATCCAGAAATTGTTTTGTTGTTAGTGTTGTGGAGTCAATTCTGACTCCTAACGTCCCTGTGGATAGCAGAGCGGAACCTTGCCTCGTCTTTTTGTACCATCCTCTCACCTTCCCTGAGCTATATCAGACAATTCTCCGCTGCTATTCACAGGGTTTTCGCGGCCAATTTTTTCAGAAGTGGGTGGTCAAGTGTTTCTTCCTAGTGTATCTTAGTCTGGAAGCTCTGCCGAAAGCGGTCCACCATGGGCGACCCTGCTGGTATTTGAAATCCCAGTGGCACAGGTTTCAGCATCACAGCAACAAGTAGCATCCACACTATGACAACGGACAGACGGCTGGTGAGGTTCCCTAACCAGGAAATGAACCCAGGCCACAGAGATGAGAGTGCTGAATCTTAACCACTAGACCACCAGGGTTAGAAATAGCATGGAGACCATTTTTTCAGTTTTTAGAGGAACAGATGTACCCAAGGCCGCCTGGCAATCCCTGTCTATTGCTTATTTTCTTTGTGTTTCCTACTTCTTCTTCTCTCTGTTGCCCAGGTCAGTGCTCTCCTCTGTTACAGTAAAGTAGAAAAGACTTAATGTAGAGAATGAGTTTCTAGAGACTAGTGTCAAACTGGCATTTCCATCGGGCCCACCTTGGAACAAATGAGTATACTAGCTTTGAGGCTACACATTTCCTGAAAGCCAGGGAGAAGTCACAGAGAAGCTATTTCAATCTGGAACAAGTCCTACGTGAGTAATTGCATGTGGTATGTCCCCGATAAGTCCTCCCAGCCTAGAGCCTGATGGACCAGCGCAGGGTGGATCTCCCCTTAGTGGGGGTGGGGAGAGCAGGCTGCATTCCAGCCTAAGATGGTTGGTTGATTGCTGCAGAGCTACAAAATTCCAGCTTCCTTGGCCTTATCAACAAGTGCAAATCCCTATTTTCTGACACCTTCATTAGACTTCTGAATTTAGACAATGACTCCTGATAAAATAGCATCCTATTGTGCTTTGTGGAATTTTCTGTAAGAAACTCAGGGAAAACGAAAACGTTCTGATTCCAGCAGAGGCTGGGCAACACTACAGTTACAAATTCTATTGGGCAGCAATCTTTTTTTTTTTTTTTTTTTAACACTTTGACGCTCCCTTCTAATGAATTTCAACACATAATCAGTGTTTCTACAACAGACAACATTATCTTATCAGTATCACATAGTTTGGCTCCTAACTGAGAATTTCCTCCTTCTATAGGTATATAATGCAAATTATAATGTTTTCTGTTTGAGATACTCCTATATTATATTCCTAAAATTAAAGATAGGGTAGGATGGGCAAAATGGGCAAAAAAATATGAATAAATAAAAGACTGAAAAATCCCAGATGTTCTTCTATCCTGTACATGTGTAATTGCAAAGGACAATTTTCCAAGGAGGAAAATAGTTACTAGGCTCTTAAAATGGGAAGAAATTTTGGACTTTCTCAGTCCCCACTAAATGGCATTTTATTTGACACTTTGGCCCACTAGATAGCTTTAATGATAGATAGCTCTGTTTTAATATGTTATTGAGAATACTGTGACATCATATTATCTCTGCAATAAGCCCTTCTTATACTAATGAAATATTGATGATTTGCTTTATCAAACATCTATTCTTTGCTTTGATAAAAATATCCATGTCATTTCCATGGATAATTTCTTATTATGAATTTCCAACACTGATACTGTATTGTATAATAATAACCTAACTTACTCAGAATGAAGAAAGCAGAAAACTCTAGGAGAAAATTAGATATACAATATATATATTATAGAAGGAGATAACTGTCAAAGAAAATAATTTCCATACCATTCTTTTTGGTCAGAAATGCAACCTACAGAAAAATTCATATGTACTTCAATCATTTATAACTTCTATAACCCTACAGCAAGAATAAACCTTTATGGAATCTGATTTATTACAAGATCCTGAACTACCTTTTGAATCATCAAGGACAAATTTACCTTCAGTGTAATTTTATATCAATTATTCTAATTTTTTGAAAATTTGTAAATCTATGTCATATCGTAAACCTCAAATAACCAGAACATTCTTTTTTTCCTCTCTTTCCCGAATATATTTGTTTTCATTCACCTCAGGTGATAATCCATATGATTATAAACCTCAGTTAACCAGAACATTCTTTTAATTTGTCCTCTCAAACTATCTTCTTTCTCAATCATCTTAGGTAGGTTTCACAAATAAGAATAAATTGAAGAAAATCTGATTTTAGGAATGTTCTGAAAACTTCCGCAGGGAGATGCTTAAACTATTGTCTTCAAACAGTGGTAACAGAAATGGGAGAAAATGCTGCAGCTCCTTGAGAATCAAACACCAAATTGCAATAAAAAGCCTCGTTTTGAAGAGGTCACTCCTGTAAAACCTCTGCTCATGGTACCGCTCAGCACTTGTTACCACCATTTGGAAACTAATCAGACCTAGAGTCATTATACAACAGGAAGACCCTCGGAAGACTTACTCCAAACTAAGGATGGCTGGTTTATAAACTCTCCTTCCAATCAGTTTTATTGTTTTAGTTGATGAAATCACAGAAGTGAAATGAACCTGGAAAAAGTGAGCATTGTAACGAGCAGGAGCCACAGTCCCAATGCCTGCACCTGCTTAACAAATGAATGGAGATGCAGGATGCAGAGCTGTGAGGGTAAATACTGAGGCTGAAACTCATCGACTGGAAAGGTTTTTATTTTTCATATTCAATAAAAGTGGTCTGAATATATTTCATTTCCTACGGTGAGTGGAATAAGTTGTCAAGCTAGAATCAATAACTCCAGAGTCTTTTATTAAATTCCTTCACTCACCTTCCATGGGGGTGTTACTGTCTGGTCGATTTGCAAAGACCACATCCACATACTCAAGCTGCAGCCTCTGGAGGGAGCCCTTCAGTCCTGGAGACAGAAGCAGGAAAAACCCCAAAAATCCAAATATGAGCACTATTAGAAATAGTTGAAGTTTGGTTTCCTTCAAGAAGTCTTTCTTGAAGGGGTAGTAAGGCACATATGTATAGTGATGGATGATAATTAGTCTTGGATGGTGAACATGATGTAGTCTACACAGAAATTGAAATATAATGATGTACACCTGAAATTTATATAATGTTATAAACCAATGTTACCTCAAAAAAATTAATTATAAATAAATAAACATTAACATCCTTAGGAAAAAAGAATTTACTTTAAAAAAAGGACTGGGTTAGTTTCAAAAAGACCTTCAATACAATGATGTGTTAATTGGCCCCCAGAGCCTTTTAAAATTATATCAAAGGCTGACTTTGTCTCCAACAAAGAAAAGTCTTAGAACTTTCTCAGTGATATTAATACTCCCACCCCACAGGGAAATACATGCTTAGTCATGATCTTTCACAGTGACTCGTGTGGCAGTATCCAGAAGCAAAGTTTAGAATAAAAAGCAGCCTAAGAATTTAACTTCTTTCTTCTTGAAAAACCCAAATTAATGTCATGTTTTGAATTACTTAATGGGCTTATAGTGGGATGGATATATATTTATTGCACATTGAAAACATTAAAATGGTATAAATCAGAAATAAATGACTGCTGACCCCATCTTAATGTATACATGGGGGTTTTAATAGGAATAAAAAGGTTGGCAAATGAAGGTTTTGCTCAACATTTTACTAGTTGGAACAAAGTTTGAAGAACCTTAAATGTAGCTGAGCTCTACCATTTCTATTATTCTCCATTCTTTTGGGAAGAAACAAAAACACTAGAAGCTATAGCGACTTCAGATGTAATATAAAGGAGTGAGAGCTTAAAAAAAAATCTGGAACCAATAATCCATGTTTCAGCCCTAACCGTTTGGTCACATTCCAATGAGTACTCAGAAAAAATTATTTAATTTCAGCAAACTTCCCTGAAATAGAATATAGTGTATATAATATTATACAACCAAAAGGTTGACAGTTTTAAGAATCATTTTATCTCATTTCCATGAGGCACAGCATTTCCTTATGAGCCTATTTAATTCCTCAAGAAGACCGGAGGTTTTTCTCTTTTTATTATAGGCATAAAACCAATTGCATGTTAAATGAGGCTCTTATAAATTTAAATTTGGCTTATTTAAATTTGATTTTTCAAACTGGTTTATCGGCCAGCCACAATTACTTTTCTGACAGGAAATATTTTTCATTCATTGAGAAAGAATTGTCTGTGATGGCAGCTCGTTAGAAGAAGCCTTGATGGAGAGATGAGGGCAGACAGGTGTTACAAGGTCCCACGCCTGCTCTTACAGAACTGCAGTGACTTGCAGGTGCAGGGTATTACCAGCTATCTCAAGGCGCAGCTTGAAGTTAGATTTACCTCGAAAAGCACTATGATATGAGCCACTTTTTGGAAGCAATTGTATGTATGGAGGAGGTAAGGGGAGGACAGGATAACCAAGCAAACAAATGAAAGGATAGCACAGGTATGGAAGGTTGGAAATCTGTCCTCTAACATGCGGCGTGATCCCACTGGGGTGATTTGACCATGGTGGGGACTCAGCTCTCTAATCTGCAGTGGAGATAACAGTATTTACTACTTTCAGTGTCACTGCTCCAGAGAGCCAATAAAACCAGTTGTCAAGCACTTTGTAAGTGCAATAGTCTATAGAAATTTGGTAATTATAGCAGTGGTGTTCACATCTAGAAAGGCTCAGAATGAGAGGTGCCAAAGACTAAACGCCAAAGATTTTCACTGGACCTCCTGGTTTTGGAGGGAGGCACTTAGTGACGGTTCTGGCCCATGTCTGGCACTGGAAATAAGGGTCCTCCTTTCTGATGATGGCCCTCCCACTCTGGGTCTCTTCTAAATAGCTCACGTGGGCTGAGAGTAACTAGAAGAAGCTACACTAACAAGGCCCTGCTGTAAAGCTGTGAGGTCAGGACTGAAGTTGTTTGCTCTTCCGTGCCATAAGCAGGTACTGAACCTGTGCCAGGCTCCGGGGATGTGAAGACGCATGGGCATGGTATTCATCCCCAAGGAGCAAACAGTACATATTGAGAGCATCTATTGGCAAAAGTTCATTGTTCAAGGTAATATTGTGTACCCATAAACAATGGCATGGACTTGATATAAAGGTGGGTCTCATTGTATTCAGTCATTCCTCACCTTTCAATTCTTTCTCTGGAAAGCATTTTTTCTTGATATTTTGGCTGAGACTCAAGTGTATTCAAGTGAGAATGTAAGATATGATGTGTTGCATCGCGTCGGAGATCCACCTGGTCTACTCTGACTTTGAAGTGGAGTAGAAGGAAATTATGCTCCTAAGAGACACTATCCACTTACTGTGAAAATATTAATCATATAAAGTCTTATAATCCATGGTATGAATTTTGGATTTTACTCTATGTGAGAAGGAAAAACATTGGTGGGGTGCTGGGACGTACTGAAATGGGAGTCAGGCAGGGGAAATGATATTATCAGATTTCTGTTTTGAACTGATCACTCTGCCTGCCGAGAATGACTTGTAGGGGGCAGAAGTGAAAGCAGGGAGATCCCTGAGGAGATTACCCCAGCAGATCAAGCTTGGACCATGTTGGTGAGAAGTGTTCAAATTTGGGACAAGTTGTGTAAATAAAAACAAGAGGACTTGCTGGTGTGCTGGGTAAGAGTGTGGAGGTAGAGGAATCAAGGATGACTCTTAGAGTTTTGGCCTGAGAAGTGAAGTGACTGTTAGTAAGACGAGGAAGTCAAGGGAAAACAGATTGGTGGTTGTGGCGGGAACCATGACGAGTCTGGAGGGTACATCAGTCAACCACAGCTCTTGCCAGCTGGGTGGACAAGCCTGGTATTCAGAGGAAAGGTCCATGTGCAGGGTTTGGGATCTAGAGTGCTAATCTGGCTGGCCTGAACAACGTTGCCAAACTAAGCCTCTAAGAGCCTTAGTTTCCTCATCTGTCCAAAGACAAAATGGAGCTAGATGATTATTCTGCTTTGACCTTTCATGTGACTGCAAACCAAATCAGGTAGTCCTGCCTTTCTCTATTTGGATGCTTTAATCTTGTAGAAATAGCCACATCATAGCAACATAAAGACATGCTCAACGAATGTCTTCTTGAGAGCCATTTAGGGTTTATCTCCAATAAACCAGTAGACACGTTCTGTCTCCACTTAGCAAATGTTTGTTGAGCACTGACTTGGGGCCAGGTATTGTGTTAAGTTTAAGTAGACGTGCAAAAATGCATCACCCTTGGCTCCAGAGGGGCATCGACAACTATCATACCTGAGGAGGTGATTGCTGCAGTGCAGTGAGTGCACTGGCTTCTGACGTTAGCCTGTCCCTCGGCACTAACCCCTGTCTGTGGGAGTGAATGTAGGAGAATGCTCCCTGCCCTTGAGGAGATGTCCGGAAGTTAACTGCAATTCCTCAAAATTCCACGGGAGGGCCGGCCCCGCGGCTTAGCGGTTAAGTGCTCACGCTCCGCTGCTGGCGGCCCGGGGTTCGGATTCCCACGCCCACCGACGCACTGCTTCTCCGGCCATGCTGGGGCCGCGTGCCACATACAGCAACTAGAAGGATGTGCAACTATGACATACAACTATCTACTGGGGCTTTGGGGGAAAAAATAAATAAATAAAAATTAAAAAAAAAAAGTCCACGGGATAATTAATTATATTATGTAAAGAAAATTGCTTTCCAGTGCCTATAGTAAAAAGAAATCTAAGTTGATTTTTCTTTTGGGTTCTGAAGTTTAACAGGAACTGTTTGTTCATAAGGTGAACCGTAATTCAGCTTAAGCTATCTAAAGGCATCACAGGCGTCTAGAGAAATATGCTTATTCCGGACATTAAGCAGATTGGCATGGTTAGAGGTGGATCGGGTATTCAGTGGTGCAGGTTTAACTGTGTAGAAACATGGGAATCATTAGTTTGCAGATTCTGCAAGGGGTCTATTCAAATACGCTGTGTCATCGTCTTTGACACCTACTGCACATTTGCTTTCCTATCTAGCCTGAAAAAAAATGTTGCGTTAAATAATATACACTGTTTCCCTATATGATTTTCCAGCTTCTTCTCAACAGACCTCTCAGTCATGATTCAAGACACATCTGCTTCTTGTTATAAAGACCACACTGTATTAGAGTAATACATGTGGCTACACCTTCCACTATGAGACATAGTTCTCCTGGGTGGGTGATTTCAGTGTACTAGGAACATAGTGCACCGGGAAGGAATCTGTGGTGAAGAAATTAACCCTTTGTTAAGAAATTTATTCTTTAATTGGAAAATCTTAAATTCTCTCTCTCTTTTTAAAGTTCAGATAGTAGGGTTTAACCTTTGCCATTCTTGAGAAAGGTTTGAGCGAAGCTTTCTCAGTATTTTCCTCATCTATTCCTAAAACAGTGACAGTGGGTTTGTGTGTTGAATCACATAACAAAACTGTTGTCTACCTGAAAGGCACATGTAGACTCAGACACAGCTTTTGCCTCTAAAAGCACATAACCAATTTACTTAGTCTTACAATTTGACTTACTAAACTATTTCTATTCTTTCACGTTACATACTAAAGAAATTTGATCTGTTAAATTTTAGTATTAGCACAAATTTGGGCTTAATGAATGTTTGTGAAATGGCTGAATCAAAAAATAGACTTTCAGAGCCTGAGGGGACTTTGGGATTCTAAACGGATATAATAAACCTATTAGTGAAATTTCTACCCTCCTCGTGAATCTAAGGAGAATATTTTTCCTGACTGGATGTGAATAAAGGACTTTGGGCTCGTTGAAAAGGTCTTCCATATGAATTTTTTCAAAACTGCATTACGCACAAGTCAAGCTCATTTTACACTCTGTAAACTAACTCAGGTGACCAACGTCACCAGGACACAAGTGGCCTGAACTCTACATGAATTAGACTTCTGTCTTACCCTTTACCAGCAGTTCTCAAGTTAAACGTGTATATGAACCTCCAGCATTGAATAAGGTCACCTTCATCACAGAACAAGTACCAAGGAAACCCAAGGATAATGATTTATAAACCTCTTCAAACTTTCTTTTGGGTCTAGAAATCTCATCGGGGTCAGAAGTCTCTGCTTTTCTGCAAAATTCACTCAATTCTCTAATTTCAGCCTGCCTAGAAATATCCTTTGAGCTGACTTGATTGCATTCATGAGCACTTGTCTTTGGCTGAAACTATGAACTGCAAAATAACACCAACAATAACAACATAATAATAATTGATTCCAATTCTTCTTCAATCTCAAAAGTTTGAAGTTGTGTGATAAAGTTTGAATCTGGGTCAGCTTGAATTTCAGCTGAACTGGTTTATCCATCCTGAGAGATTAGTTCCTAAGAGAATTCCTAACTTATTTAAAGGGGGAGAGAATTTAAGGTATTTCTATTAAGTTGTGTGAGGCTTGAAGAAAACTGACTTAAAAAAGAGAGAATTCTGAAATTATGCATATACACTGGCAAATATTAAAGCCATGGAGATTTGGTGAAGAGCATAGCAGCACACCTCCTCCATTGTTTTCTCTTGGATTTTATATTTCTTTGTTGATTGCCAGTGTGAACCATTTTCTGAATCTCTTTTTTAATCAATTAGATTAAAAAGAAAAGAAAAGAAAAACAAGAACTTTCTAGGCAGCACACTGCTGCCCTGTTCGTTCAGTTTGGTACTACAAGCCGATTTGGGTTATTTCTTGTTGACCAGCTCCGTGGTAGAGACACAGTCATGGGGGCACATGCCGGAGCAGAGACGGGAACAGTTTTGAGAGGCGGGTTGGGTTTGACTTTACGATGTCAAATTGGACACTAAGGCCTGAGGTGGGCTTTTGTTTGCGTGAGGAATTTGGAAGCTTTCCCTAGCGCTAGAATGTGGTCACTCGTGATAGCCTCAGAACGTTACTTACATAGTAAAGGATGTCCTCACCTATAGAATGAAGACTAGCAGTCGCATTAATAAGAATAACGATGATGATGAAAATAACATTTACTGAGTGCTTGTTATGTGACGGACACTGTGCTCAATGTGAATTACCTTACTTCAATATCTGTATGGTAACCTTGTAAGGTAGGAATATTGATAGCTTATTTTATAATTGTCTAAATGCAGGCTGAGTGAGGTTAAGTAACATGCATCGTCACCCAGCTCATAAATGACAGAGTTGGAACTTGAACCAAGGTTTGTCTGATTTCAAAGCCTAAATTCCTACAAATATATTAAAAATAAATTAGTGAGAAATACCAAACTCATACAAAGCCTTTGGGAACAACTGAGTGATGAAATTATTACTGTTAAAAGTATATATATATTCCAAGATCTGGCTTCAAAGGTCTCCTTTTTTTTTTTTAACCACGGCCGAAAGAAATTTTATTTTATTCATTTGTATTGGTCCCATTTGCTAATCCTGATAATCAAACATGGAATTCCCCAGGTCTGAACAGAGTGGGGCTCTGGGACATGAATCTGCAAGCAGCATTTTGTCTGCCTCCATGACTTGTATCTTTCTGCTGGTTCCCTCACTTCCATTATCATTGCCACTATTCACTCTTTAAAACTGTGATCAAATAATGAAAAAATAAACCTTAACTTTATTAACCTTCAGCACAATGAGCTATGTTGGCCTTTTTAAAAATTACTAATGATTCTAAGATAGATAAAATTAAACAGGAGGAAAATATAAGCTGCTTGAAAACTTTCTGTTGTCCTAAGAATAGGCTATGATCCTATGGAAACTCCCTTCTAGCCATCATGGAGGCCTGATACATTTTCACCTGTCTCTAACAGGCTTCCAGCCCTCTTTGATTCTTTCCTATTTCCATGAGACTCAAAGTCTCTACTTTAAATTAAAGGATTGAGTACTGGAACTATTTATTTCCAGTGCAAGTCTAAGATATTTCCAAGTAGTAGGTCAATAAAGATGGCCAACTTTCAAACTGGGATGAATGTCTTCAAATTCAACATTATCTTTCAGATTAGTTTCACAGGGAGAAAAAAGTTCACAATGAAATGACAGCCTGGGAGAAAATATTTGCAACACACGTAACCAACAGAGTGAACATCATTAATATACAAGGAGCTCCTGCAAATTAATAAGACCAAGACAAACAACCGGGAAGAAAAATAGCTGAAGAACATTAAGAGTTAATTCCCAGAAAAAGAAGCACAAAGTTATGAAAAGAAGCTCAAACCCACTAATAAATAAATGTATAAATAAGCAAATAAATAAAACCAGCTCATCCATCAGATTGGTATATTCTTTTTAGAAAACAATTTTGTGTTAAAATATGCATTATTCTTTGACCTAACAATGCCACTTCCAGTGTCTATCACATTTGCATAAGGATGGTCATTTGTATAATTCTTTATACTACTAAAAACTGGAAAAAACCCACAAGTCATGCATGTGTGTGTGTGTCTAAAATGTATTTTAACTGAGAGAAAAAGCAAAGATTAGGGTAATATGTATAGCTTGATTCCATTGGTTTAATACATATGTTTTTGTATTTATAAGTGTGTATAGGTAGGTAGATAATTTAGTGTAACTATAGGGAAAAGTTAGGAAGGATATGCACCAGACTGTCAAACTGTGGAATGAGAGGAGGTGAACAAAGTGAGGACTTTACTTCTTTATCTATTTTATTTTACAGTGGTGGGATTACGGTATTGTGAGATAATAGAAAACACATACATTGGTCTCTGCCCCCAGTTCCTGGCACAGAGCTCCTTTGTAGTTTCCTAAGTGACAAGAGCTCTAGGAGCATCTTTTGTTTTAATATTTGGTCTTTGGCCCTGATTTTTGACACTGGGCTCCTGAAACCCTGTTAACTTCCTGGATGATAGGAGTATCTTTTTTTCTAATGAGGCGACTCCAGGTGGGCTAATGGAGGGAGGGTTGTCACCAGAAAGACCAAGCCATGATTAGAAGCTTGGAAATTTCAGCTCTGTCCCCACTCCATCCTCCAGAGAGTGGGAAAGGGCTGGAAATGGGGTTGATCGATCATGCCTACGTGATGGAGCCTCCATAAAAGTCTCAATAGTATGGGGTTTGGAGAGCTTCCAGGTGGGTAAACACATCACATACCGAGAGGGTGATGCCCCCCAACTGCATGGGGACAGAATCTCCTGGGCTGGGGACCCTCCCAGACCTTAGCCTCATGTATCTTTTCACCTGGCTGTTTATCTGTATCCTTTCTCATATCCCTTAATAAACTGGTAAACTCAGTGTTTCCCCGAGTTCTGTGAGCCACTCTAGCAAATTAATAGAACCCAAGGAGGGGGTGGTGGGAAGCTCTGATTTGTAGCCAAGTCGAACAGAAGTTGTGGGTAACCTGGGGACCTGCTACTTGACAATGACATCTGAAGTGGGGGTGGAGTGGGGGGGAGTCTTGTGAGGCTGAGCCTTTAACCTGTGGGATCTGGTGCTATCTCCAGGTAGACAGTGTCAGAATTGAGTTAAATTTAGGACACCCAGCTGGAAATTGCTTGGTGTGGGGAAAACCCCCGTACATTTGGTGATGAGAAGTGAAGTGTGCTGTGTGAGGAGTAAAGAAAGACAGGAGGGAAGAGAACTGTAGGTTTTTCTCTATACAAGCACATTTTATGTTTTTGGTGACTTTGGTATTTCCTAAATGAAATTAGTTTTAAAAAGGAGAAAATCATCTATCTCATTGATTAACCATGAATCTAAAGTTACGAAAATCTTGAACTTTTATGAAATAATACATGAACTAGTATAAAGATGTTGGAAATATATGGCAGCCCCTTTTAACAGTTTTCCTTTATTGCGAAAGGTATGGGTATAAAATTTTGCAATATATAGACAAGCAGGAAACAAATAAAAATTCCTCACAATTCTCATAATCCTTGCAATGAAGTAAATCACTAGTACTCTGCTGTGTAATGGTTCTTGCTGACTGTTTATTTCCGGTTTATTTCTAAGCTATTCAAAGTTTTGAGTATCATCAAAACAGCAATGGCCCTGTGAATCAATTACCCAGTGGTAATTTTCTACAAGTTTTTTTTTCTACGCATATATACTGTTGTTTAAAAGTAGAGTAGTCCTAACTTATGTCCACACAAAAACTTGTACAGAAGTGTTCATAGCAACATTAATCAGAATAGTCAAAAAGTGGGAACAACTCAAAATAGATGTCAGCTGATGAATGGATAAACAAAATGTGGTCCATCCATACAGTGTAATTTTATTTGGCAATAAAAAGGAATGAAGTACTGAGACATGCTACAACATGGATGAACATTATGCTGAGAGAAAGAGGCCAGTCACAAAATATCACATATTGTATGATCTCATTTATATGAAATGTCTAGAATTTGAAAATCTATAGAGACAAAAGTACATTAGTGGTTATGTGGGACTGTAGGAGAGGAAAAGGAGGGGACGGGAAGTGACTACTGGTGGGTACAAGATTTCTTTTGGGGGTGATGAAAAAGTTTTAAAATTAAATTATGGTGATGATCGCACAATTCTGTAATTATACTCAGAACCAATGACTTGTACACTTTAAATGGGTAAATTTTTATGGTTTATAAATTATATCTCAATAAAGCTCTTTTAAAAAGTCTTATGGGAGTACTTTATTAATGTTCGTATAGCTATAAATGAGAAGAGTTCTAGAAAATTTGCCTCTTTCTTTCTTTTGGGTCTCCTTCTCCCCTCTATATCACTACACTCCCTACACTCAACCCCAGGAAGAAACTTGGTTGATTGTGGTTCTTTTGATAAAGAATTTTTTTGCCTCCCAATATGTTTTGAACCTATTTGGTTGATACTTTTCTGGAATCAGCAGTCCACAAATGCAAATAAAATGGGATCAGCAGTACTCACCTTCAATAATGTGTTTTCTTGACAACCCTCTTTCTGTTTCAGCTCTAACAAGAAAAAGAAACAAATGACTTTGAGTGGGGGTGTGCTTTTTTCTTTAATCACTGTTTCAAAAGTACAGAAGAATAATCATTCTAGGCTGAATTGCTAATTTTATACCCTGTTCTTAGCAAATTCTGCACTGCTGTAGGCTGAGGGGAGAGTGCTGGAGGGTAGCACACTGAGCCCCTTTTCTTTGGAGACCCCAGGAGATGAATTAACCATGATCGTCATCACACCATGTTAATAACAACTCAGCCACGCATACCCTGTCCATATATAACTTGACACTTGGCTCAATTTTCCCACCTTGTTCTTAACCAATTCCAAAAGAAAAAAAAGAAAAAAAAAAGCTTGACATAAGTTTATGAGCTCTTATAAGATTGCCAGGCTGCTGATTGCATTAGCTTTCCAGAGGAAGGAAGCACATTTGAAAGTGCCTTTTGACTTTCAAAAGAAATTTAATAACTATTTTCTTTTTTGGTGAGGAAAATTCATCCTGGGCTAACATCCATGCCCATTTTCCTCTACTGTATATGTGGGAAGCCTGCCACAGCATGGTTTGATAAGCTGTGCATAGGTCCACGCCTGGGATCTGAACCCTTGAACCCCAGGCCACCAAAGTGGAGTGCACAAACTTAACCACTATGCCACTGGGCTGACCCCAACAACAACTATTTTCTTTTAAAATGTGATGAAACAAGTCTTCCTTAAATCAGTATCCTAAGAAGACAAACCTTTAACCAGCACTTTTGCCTTCCTAGATCATTCTTAAGCTCTGGCCAATTGGAGAGAAATATGGTCCTTGAGTTTTATATTGATGAAATGTTTCTTCAACATCGATACCATTGGCAACCTCTTTTTAAAACATAGTAGTTTACCAGTCACCTTTGGAGATTTTGTATCTATTATAAGTAGTACTCTACTACATAATGGTTCTTGCAGATTGTCTTATTTCCTGTTTATTTCTAAATTATAGGCAAGGTTTTGAGTACCATTGCAAAAGCACCAAGCAACTGCACCATGAATGAGAGCACAGACAACATAAATCTACATTTCTCATAGGCACCGTGTTGCTTTATTTTTACATAGACTACAGTAGGAATAAAAGTCTAACCATCTTTCTGTCTTGACAGTCATCAAAAACAGCAGTAAAATATGTGAGTGTGTGTGTGTGTGTGTGTGTGTACACATACGCATTTTGATTAGAAGATTCCTAAACAGGCCTCTGCCTCCAATTTTGTTTTTAATGATTCTATATCAGTTATAGGAGGTAAATAAGGTTTTGTTTGTTTGTTTTGTTTTTTTGCTAAGACTCCATGGAAATCTTTGAAATTTCCATGAAAAGGTATATGGAATAGCTTGCTGCTTCCTTACGTGTTTGTCAAAAAGGCGAGACTTCCAAGTTCTGCTGAATAATGTAAGTACCGGTTCAAACACCAGTAGGCCCAGCAGAAGCCAATGCCTTCTGTGAAATTTGTTCTGCACCCACAACACAGAGAGGGCTTCTCTTTCATTGGCCTGACAGCGAGCAATACAGGTGGCTTCCTGTTATTCTCTGGTGAGATAGTCCTTTGATCAGCACTTCCAGAGCCCTCTGCAGAAATGATCAGAGACTTACACGTGGGGCCAGGCAAGATATTTTTATCTTTGCATTCTGTAGAAGCTCTGAGTTTTGGCAGATTTGAGTAGCTTTTCTTCTGTGATGCTATGTGCTTATTTTCTTTTCCTGAAATTTGAACTCTGTTTTGGAAACAGTTCTAAGCTTGAGGTTGATATTTGAAAATGTCCATGAATCACTTAGTAACAAGTGACCACATGCTTTGCACTAAATTTCTTTGGGGGCCTCTTGCTAAAATTGAATCCTGTTTCCTTCAAGTGAGAAAAAGTAATCTTTTTCTCAAAACCATTTAATTTTAGTACTTTGGATGTAAAATGGTTGCCTAAAGAGATAAAAGCATGAACTACCAGTTGTTTCCTGTCAAGCAGGGAAGATAAAAGGCATTTAACTTACTTTCCACCCCAGTAGAGTTTGGTTGTTATGACCAGGCTGGACCTCCTGTATGTTAAACAGACAAGCAGACACAGAGAAATATTAAATAAATTGCTGGTTATTGTACTAAGTCATATTATTATTGTTGTTATTATTATTATTATCATCATCATAGCACTAGAAAGAATTTCTTGTACCTCACATTTAAAAACATTGGTGAAGAGATAAATTTGTGAATTCATGTCACTGAAAGGTAAGGATACAGGGAAGCTGGTGAGTGGGGACTTCAGTCAGATCCCAGAGAAGGAGGTTGAAGGGAAGCGTCTTTACCTGGAGGGCTGACGGAGGAGGAGGGCTGTGCCAGCAAACAGGTGATTGGGGGTAGCAAAGAGAAGGTGATGGTAGGCATGGAGGGTCAGGAATGGTCAATGAGAATCTTGAGTGACAGGGCGCAAAGGATGGAATGGATTGCTGTGGGAGCTCAAATAAACAGCCACCGACTCTTAACTTAGCATCTGACAAAACGATGATTGAGCGTGAACCTTCCTGGCAGTAAGTCCACCCTCTGCCAAGGATCATGGCCCTTAGTGGCTCTGAGTTATTACCCTTTCCAACCGTCACACTCACGGGCAGAAACTGACTACATAGAAATATGAATGATGAAGTAAATTATAATAGTCAATAAATAGGAATAAAATTTCTTTGAGTGTCTTATTAAATGGAAAAGTCACTTTAGGAAAACACTCCTAAAATCCTTAACTCAAGGTTTTACCACTTTACTCCTAAGGGAATGAAACGTGGAAATCTTGTCAGCAAATTTATTACCTTCTCAAAACCACACCAAAGGGCAGGAAAGGGCAATTGTACCATTATAATCATGGAATAAGAAATATGTCTTGAGAACTACAGTCATATAATTTAAAATTGGGAGGCAGATCTCGATGTAATTTAGTTTCTCTAGGTATGTAATTCACTTGAACTGGTCTAGAAAAAAAATTATTTGAGATTCAAAGGTTAAGACCAAACTTTGAGAGTATTGGTAATAAGGCATTTATAATTCCATCAGCTGTATAGTCAATGCCTCAGGGCCCTCGGGTATAAAAGCCAAGTGTGATTAATGATGACCAATGGGGAGAAACAGTGACAATTCTGACAACTTGGCTGCAACAAGAAAAATTTGTAGAAAATGTCAGCAGCCCCATCCCACTGAAGTTAATTCCCTGGAAAGTAATTTGAATCCCGGTAATGGAAGGTCTACAGATATATGCATCTGGAGATTATACACCTCAGAAGGGCTGATGCCCTTTCCAGGTTAATCCATCAACCTCATGATACGTGGTACAACAGCAATCTGCCACAGGGGAGCCAGATCTGCTTCAGCAAACATTTTCAGAGCTTCGACGATAGGCTGGATGGAATACTATAAAAAATGAATGCAGTGCTCTCGATTGTTTAGAGCAATTGGGCCTGCCAAAGCTGCAGATTCTATCCAAATACCACCAGAGACTTATTTTTCCAAAGCTAGGTTTTCTGTAAAATGTTTGGCTTATATGGATGTGCACACTAACATTTACATTCAAATAGCAAGAGTAGACAGCAACCTGGCAAATTATCACTGACCCCTGCGGAGGGGGTTTAGAGCAATTCTTCAGAGTGGGTGGGGAATGACAATATGAGTTTTCTACATTGATATAGCACAGCCGTCAAATACTTCTGCACACCTGTCTCACTTTATCAGCATGACACTTCATGAACAGTTACACTGTCCACTGTCCATTTCAAAGGTGGGAACATTGAGACTCAGAGAACTGAAGTAACCTGCCCTGGAAAGCACAGCTAGCAAGTGGTGGCACTGGGACCAGAAGCCAAGTAGGCTGGCTGACACTGCCTTTGCAGACTCCGTGCTGTGAGGATATGGTCTATCTTTTCACCGGTCCTGTGGGGCACCTGTAAACTGATAGCAATATTCTGTAGCATGGGGATAGCTGTTTTTATTTGCAAGACTGAAAGGCAGCCTGTGAAAGACAAGTGTTGATCTACTTTCTTGCAGGTATAGAACAGGCTCTGCCAACAGTGGAGAGGGTGGTGAAACACTCTGCGGGTGTCGATGGGGGAGAGCGACTGCACTGATGCTCCCCGCTTCCTCGTGGGTAGCTGTCGGCCTGTACCTCGCTGCACATTTCACTGGACCATGAGTGCACTCACCCCCAAGGGCTCTGTTATAGGTTGATTGGGTCCCCCCAAAAGATATGTTAAAGTCTTAACCCCCAGTACTTCATAATGGGAGCTTCTTTGGAAACAGGGTCCTTACAGATGTAGTAGTTAAGACGAGGTCGTGCTGGAGCAGGGTGGGCCCTTAATCCAATACGATTGGCGTCATTATAAGAAGACACACAGACACACACGAGGGGAGGCGGCCCTGTGAGTATGGAGGCAGGGGTGATGTGCTGCAGCTGCGAGCCCAGGAAGCCGAAGCTCGCCAGCCACCACCAGAAGCGGGGCAGAGCTAGGGGAGGATTCTACCCAGAGTTTCAGAAAGAGCAAGGCCCTGCCCAAACCTCGATTTTGTACTTTCGGCCTCCAGAACCGTGGAGAATAAATTTCTATTGGCTTAAGCCCCCCAGCTTATGGCACTTTGTTACAGCAGCCCCAGGAAGGTGATACGGTCCCTCTTTGGGCAGTGATGATGGTCCAGCATTCTGAGTGGGACGCTAACTCAGGCAAGGTGGAGGACTGGGTGGGGACATCAATAGTTTTCCATATTTCAAGGTTGAATACAGTTTTCTCTTAACAACACCCTTACAGTTGCTGGAGTGGGGGTGGAGAAGGGAGAGGGGAAAATGGGTCACCAAACTTTGTTTATATCCCCATAAATTTCTGGGTGTCCATTTCCACTAATACCATGGAACTGTTATTTATTTGGCTATCAGTGATATTATATCAGAACAAAAGAGGACCCCAAACTTGCCCAGTGGTCCCTGTTGGGCTTTCTCTGATTCTGTACTCGTGCTGGGGAAGAAATGGCTGTTGAGGCTGACATGCACAGTGAAATGGAGGGGGGGTTGCCTCCCCACCCCCTAGACATTACGGCACCCCTCATTACTGCTGGCTTTGGCTACAGAAGGTGTTGGGATGGGATGTGACCCCTCAAGGAGAGCAGATAAAGCACTTTCCTGAAGGCCCAGGTACGAGGGCTCCTGGCACATAGGAGAGACGCTGGCTAATTGTGTTCAGATAAGAAAGCTTAGGGGTATTTATCCCAAGAGCTTGTTGTTTCATCATTTCTTGGCACCCAGAGTTGTTAATAAAATGAACATAAATTCGTGCACATAGATAATCAGATTCCTGTCAGCTGGCTTCATTCACCAAATTACCACCAACGGAAGTCAGAAACCACGAAAATGCCACTTTATTTTAAGCATGAATGTCTTATGAACATTCTCTCCTTCTCTGCTCAGCCTCATGGTAATTCACTGTGATCAATGACTAGTCAATAGTTTTTGAAGCACAAGTAGTGAACTCGCTGGCATGTATTTTCAAAGCTCTGTCAATCATTTCTTTACAAGAGTTGACTTTTTTTTTGACAGGCCTTTGGTCAGTTGTCATGCAATTTTATTTTCCCTTCTCTGGTACAACATAATGTCTTTTTAAAGACAAGTAGATAATTATGGTGAAAGCATTACCTCCAGCCTTTCTTCTTGATGATGCTCCCCAGAATCACCTCAGCCCTGGGGGGAAAAAAGACAGTGTCTTAGGATACGGTGTCCTGGAAGCACAAGAGTCGATCCAAAACACCAGAGCTGCGCCTCATCTGAGATCTCAGTGCCACATGCCCCCAAAATAGAACCACTCGCGCCTGCTAGCACAGTTTCCACTGTTTCTGCTTTTGCCTGCAGAAATCCTGCTCCTGGAGCATTCCAGAAGCACCTGCCAAGTCCTGACCCATTGGCAGGAGGCCGCCTGAGGTCCTGATACTAAGAAACGGTGGAGTCATTTGGCAGTTTGGTGGTTTTGAACCACTGATCCCATATATAAATGTCCTGCTTGGTGGTGTCCAGTGGGAGTCGAGGTTTTCCTTCTAATTGCCATGGTCTCCAATTGTAACTGGGGAGGACAATGAGACCTCACATTGTTTAGACAGAAAATATTAACTCTCTGGTGATCTTGCAGGATAGAAGAACCCATGTATGGCTTTAGATGCCCCAAAGGCCAGGGCTGCAAACACAGTGGCCACGTAGAGAATGTCCTGGGGAGATGCAGAGAAGTGTCCTTCCTGCCTCTAAGGCCAGGTCGTGGAGAGGTATACCGAAGATGTCCCCACTGTCCTCTCCCCCTCCACCTACCCCAGCTGGGCCCCAAGCTTAAGGAGACTCAACTTTCTTCTAGATCCCTCCCAGTCAGACCAACATTGTGAGAAGCAGCTGGGCTCTCAGAGACTTGTGAATGGGGACATCAGTGGAATTAGCACTCTGTCCAATAGGATCCTACAGATGGGAGTCATTGTGAATCAATATTTGTCTTAACTGAAAGTTCTGTCTTTGCTGGAGTGTACAGCCTGGCCATGAACCATGATGCAGGTTGGCTCCAGATCACACCCCAAGTAGACATGCATTGAATGTTCTACCAGTGTTGCCCCCACCGTCTGTCTTGCCGACAGCTACCTTTTACAACCTTGCATTTCATAGTGGGAACCTATCTCATTTACCCACTGACAATCAATAATTAACCAGTACTGATTATTCCTCACCTTAGGAGTACAAACAGGACTCCAACACACTTGTTCATCCCTCCTCCCTTTTTCAACCTTAGCCCTATTTGGTGCTAAGCAGGACTCAACGAAAAGAGAAACACTGAGAAAGGGCAGGATATGGAAAAGAGCAAGGCCACATCCATTTTATTTTCTCTCCTTGGACTCAACAGAAAACATCAGGCTTGTGGGCTCTAAACCTCAATGATGGCCCTTACACACAGACTCGCCCTTGAAAAGGAGAAAACCTGTGCAAGGATGCACTTGGACCAGGCAGTGATGACCTGATTCAGCAAGTCCAGCAGTCATATTGTAATTCTCACTGGAAAGAGGTGAATTAGGCCTGTAGGTGATTATGCTCCACAGTCATCTTAGAAAATGGCCGAGCTGCTCAAGCAGCTGTCCAGCTTTTAGTTTCTTTCAGTTCTGGAAGCTGCGTCCGTGTTCACAGCAGGGGCCAAGGTGCTCCAGCTCTGTCGTGAAATGTTCTTGTTGTGCCACGACCTAGAGGGCACGGACCTGGAGGCCCGGCCCCGGGGGCACGTTACCCCTGTGTTCTGAGTTAGCAGGGAGCCCTGTCCTAGAGCCCCAGACCTGCTCTCAGGTCCATAGGAAGGTTGTGGCCAGATGTGACTTCTCCAGCAAAAGAGGTGAGGCCTCTGTGCAGCCCCCTCTGTCCTCAGAGTGGGGTCTGAAATGCCCTCTTACAAAAGATGTTGGGTTTCTTGGCCTCTTTGGGGAACCCTCCTTTAATCTCTGATCTACCCATAATGCTAGGTGGAGGGGCAGGCAAACAGGAAAGGCAGCTCCTGCTTCCCTGCAGAGAGGACGCCCCAGTTTCCCTAGGGGGTTGAGGAACTATGAGATGTGGTTATGAAATAACGAGACTAGTTTTCAAACAACCACCCTGCAATCTGCTAATTGATTTGCTCACTGATATATTCAACTAATATTTATTGATCTCCAATGCCATCACTCTGGTCCCAGCCACCTCTGCCCCTCATGTAGACCATGACATTTCCTTCCAGTCCATTCTTCATACAGTGGCCAGAAGTGGGAAGGTTTGGGCGGGCAGAGGGGGCCAGAGACAGTCAATATCCCCAAATCTGGTGATGGTGGTAAGGGGAGGGACAAAAGTCCTGCCACCAACATGTGTGGGGAGGGACAAAAGTCTTTCTCCCCAACACGTCAGCAACAGTCTGGGCAGGGTCTCTTGGTTCCAGAAATTCCAGAAACACCACTTGAGGGACACAAACAGGTACTGACTTACTTCCCAGCAGCATAGACCTCGGCAGTATCAAAGAGATTAACTCCACTCTCGTAGGCGATCGTCATCAGCCGTTCAGCAACCTGCAAGAGCATGCGAAGGTCAGTCAGAAAAGCCAAACGCTTTCCAAACCTGGGAAGTGACTTGGAATCCTCTGGTGGTCTTTAAGAACACTGAAATCTCACTAACCATGTCTTGTTTTCCTCAGATGTATTAAAGAAAGAAAAGAAGAAGAGGATTCAACCAGCATATACAGGCTTAGAGTATCCTTCCCCTCAGACACAGACCGTCACTAAGGGACTTCTATCTTATCACTGGGATAAGTCAGCCATCAGGGGACAGCGAGTTGGAGAGATGTGTGTTTCTCAGTCTGCATGGAGGACCTGGGTTGACAGCATTCTTTGTGGCCTCGTAATCTCTCTGACCAAGAGGGTCGTTCGTATCAGTGGTGACTTCATTTCTCCTTTCTCCAGGCCAGTAGGTTTTGTCAGCTGGGTGACTCCTGATCTGCAAGCTTGCGCCTTTTTGCCTCGAGGCTTTGCAGACTGTGCTGATGAACCAAAGGTTAGACAGAGCTGCGACTGTTGTAAAACTCCTGCCACCCACAGCTCAGCAAAACCCCAGGTACCACCGCAGAGCAACCAGCCAGCAGGACTGACACACGGAGGGGAGAGAGTGAGGCACCGGCTCCGGGGGCCCAGCTCCTCGCCGTCAGCCCGCAGATAGATCTCCAGGCGGCTCGTTCTGAACGCAAGTGGAAGTGTGAGAGAACAGTACGGGGGCGGGGGGGACAGCTATAGAGGGACAGCAATAAACAACTGTGGAGAAGGGACATTTTTTCATTTTGCTGATAGACTTATTAGTCAATTGAAAAATTACACACCTCACAAATAATTAAAATTGATTTTTCCATTATATTTTTGATTGTGCACTAAGGGTGCTTCTTTGGCATTTCCAAGATAAACTATTTTCCTGCTGTTTTTAAAATTGGCATGCCAAGAAAATCGTTAGGCTAGCAAAATGGGGTCCATGCAGATCCTTTAGAATAATGGTGGCAAAAATGCTATTACTGCTTTTTTTTTTTTTTTAAAGATTTTATTTATTCAGTTCTTCCCCCCAAAGCCCCAGTAGATAGTTCTATGTCATAGCTGCACATCCTTCTAGTTGCTGTACGTGGGACTCGGCCTCGCGTTGGACGGAGAAGTGGTGCCTCGGGGCGCTCCCAGGATCCGAACCCGGGCCGCCAGCATCAGAGCGCGCGCACTTAACCGCTAAGCCACGGGGCCGGCCCTCTTTTACTGCTTTTAATTTGCTACCATTAAGACATTTATCCTAAGTAGAAATGAAAAGTTAAGACAAGTATAGTTTTTCCCAACATGGTTGTCCTATGTTTTAGAAATGTTTGTGCTTGTGTTGTATATTGTCCCTGTGTTATGTCACACGACATACTAGTAGATGATTATTGGGAAACGTGCATAATAAATCTTATCTAGAGAGAAATTTTAAGATGAGATGGAGAATTCTGGATGGAGTGTTGGACTAAATGATTGCTGAGATGTTTTCCAACCACAGGACTTGAAGACCTGAATGTCGAATAATGAAATCACTCAACCAAGTTAGAAGACTAGTTTTCGGCCTTGCGTGTACCACTTACTAAATAAATAAACTTGGGCAAATCATTTTTAGTATTTCAGTTTCTCCATCTGCAGAATGAGGATGGTTCTATTCAGGTCCTCCATGGAGCCCATAGGCCTCAGGGAAGCTGACCTCACCTCCCTCCACTGGGGGCCTCATGGCCTAAGGGCAAGTGGTTCAGGGAAGGTCATGTGACATATTTGGGCCAATGAGATGTGAGGAGAGATTTGCTGAGGACTTCTGGGAACATTTTTCCTTGTTCTTCTTACAGGGTTCCTGGAAGTTCCCTAGGGTTATTACTCTAATTGAGATCTAGAATGCCTACAGCTATCTTACTAGCTGAGGATGAAGTCTACATACAAAGGAACACAGGGCCAAGAGAAACGCTAGAAAATGGAGTGGAGGCCACTGATTGAGTCAACCCTGAAGCTTGCTCTGCCTCTGCTTTAAACTTGTAGTTTAAAAGTGAAAAAAATTTTTTCCCTTGTTGATGAAGCCAATTTGAGTTGGGTTTATTGTTACCTCCAATTGAAGGAATCCTAATTACCTTACAGATGAGAAAATGTAAATAAAATTCTGAAAATTAAGTTCTATAAGGTGGTATTATACTCTTATCACTATTTTAAAATATTATTATTCACCTGAGTAATATCCATCTTGATTTTTTTTTTCTTTTGCTGAGGAAGATTCTCCCCAAGCTAACGTCTGTGCCAATCTTCCTCTATTTTGTATGTGGGTTGCTGCCTTAGCATGGCCACTGACCAGTAGTGTAGGTCTGTGCCCAGGAATTGAACCCAAACCTGGCTGCTGAAGTGAAGCATGCCAAACTTAACCACTAGGCCATGGGGCCGGCCCCTCCATCCTGGTTTTATGATAAGGCCAAGTCATCTTTGGGAGGCACCTCACAGAGTTACTAGTTTCGTATTGGAATCCTTTTGGTAATATTCTGCCAAGTGGCTATTCAATACATGGGTGAACTCTCCGAGGAATGGGGGCATCACCACCCCCTGAGGCAGCACTGATGATCGTGCCACTCAGCACCTCATGATGTGGTCATCCCAGGATCCCATATTTGTACCTGCTTTGCGCCGAGCTCATCTGAAGCCAGAGAGAAAGCGGAGAAATCTGGGGAGGTGAATTTGTTGCTATAGGACCATGTTTTTGCCACATGGAAATAATTGAGCTGGAGCAATTGAACCACAGGTGTGACTGTGGTCTGGCTCGGCCTGCCTCCCTTCTCCTTGCTGGCGTTCTCTCTGCAGGGCCCTGGGGGAAGCCACAGCTGCTCTCTGGAGGGACAATAGCTACTTGTCTGGTCTGCATCTGAGGTGCGAGCCTCTGCAGCCATTCATAACAGCTTTACTGTGCAGTTTTTAGAATCGTAGTTTTGAAATGATCAGTTTCAGAGGCCAGCCTCTGACCTGGGCAAGCCGGGCTCCTTGCGGCAGAGAGCAGACACTGGAAAGGGGAGAGCAAAGGTGAAGCCAGAAATGATGTGCTACAGCTAGCCCCTCTGCTCCGAAAGGGAAGATAGTTTTGTCTTTTTCCCCTCCAAGCACCATGTCAGGCCACAGAAGGTTATGCACATACTGGATACAGTGGATTAACAACTTTAGATCTCCCTCCCTACTTGTCACCCACTTTGTAACTGACTGAAGTCTGTGCCCTTGCCTCTGTGCCTCCTCCATGCACCCATCCTGGTGCCAGTCAGGGGTCCCTGTAGTGGACCCTGTGACGGCCACCCAGCTCTCCTTCAGAACCGAAGGACTTATTCCTCAGCTGCTAGGAATGCTGCTATCAGATGGCATTTGGCTAAAGCCCAAGGTCAGACCTGGTTCCCAGGGCAGCCTCTGTCCAACGACTAGTCAGACAAGGGAATAAACGCTCAGTCCTCTTGCCCCAGCTCGGGACAACTCTGCAGGGCCATCTCATCTTCGGAGCTGCCCATGGGGTCAGCTGAGGTCGTTGTGAGACTGCATCATGGCCACCCTCCTAATAACTGTTCTGCGTGCTAATCTCCATCCAGAGTCTGCTGCCCAAGGAATCCGCCATGTGACAAGCTCTCTATGGTGACCTATGCCAATACTGGGAACAGGCATTCAGACAGATGAGAATATGCAGATAGGACTCCTCTGGTGACCTTAGGGGCTGTGGAAAAGACTCTCCGTTCCCCCAGCATCTCCTTAGGAATGATAGTATGAACTCCCTTTATAAAGAGCTTGTTCTGGGCCAGGCCCGGGGCTGAGCACTTCATAGGCTCCAGTTCATTCATCTTAACCTTGATCCTGCTCAGTAGGGCTCTCATCTACATTTTACTGATGTGGCAACTGTTAGTAAACATAAAGGTTAGTTAGTAATCTCGTTAGTCAATGGCAGAGTGAGCTGGGTCCCATAGTTGGTCAATGGCAGAGTGAGCTGGGTCCCATTGAGTGTACCCACTCAGAGACACTGTCCCTGATTCCTCAGTGGTGTGTAGCTAGGCAAGGAGGGACTGGAAGGAATTGAGGGTATGGCCTTCAGGGGGGTCATTGTCGCTTGGTGCCTTCAGAGCTCACTTATGCCACGAAGGTATTCCTTAGAGGCGACGAGAGGAATATCACTTTGGTAAGCACTGTTTTGAATGTGCAAACAAAGATTTAAAGGAATTTTATGGTAAATATAATTATTATAGCTACCATTTATTGAGTGTCCGCTACCTAAGAGTCAGAGGGCTCCATAAATGTCTGACATACATAACATGGTTAATCCTTTCAACAGACCTTCAAGGTCTACATTATCATCCCATTTACGTAAGAGGATCTAAGGCTCAGAGAGGTGGATTAACTTGCCCAAGCCAGGGTGACAACTGTCCTGGTTTGCCCAGGACTGAGAGATCCCATGCTACAATGTGAAAGTCCATGCAAACTGGGACCAGTCGGTCACCCTAGGTGGAACAAAAACACACACAGATATAACAGCAATAAGATCTTTCATAGTGACTAAATATTACTTCCAAACTGGTTTGTTCTCTAGCTATTGAGCCTGCACATATAATAGATTGACAGCCTCAAGGGCTATTAATAGTCTAAATGTGAAAAATACAAGAAGCAAGATAAAATTGAAAATAATCCTTGAGTCAATCTTAACCATTTCCTGTGATTAAAACATTATCCTTGCAAAATGCCAGGATCCCAGGAAGAGGGCAGCTCAGCTGTCTCTGCATTTTCATTGATCAGCAGAATGGAAGCCAAAAGGTACTTACCTCATCTGAAATTTGACCTCCAAATGTCACCCATGTTCCTAGAAAAGAATATTTGCATGTTATTTATAATCATTTTTCTAATACTGTGCATAATGAGAGGAAACACTTTTTCTTACGTCGGGGCTACTTCAATAGGTTGTTCACAAAGGTATCTGGATGAGGGGCACTTGGGGGCTGAATCCATCCTGTCCTCTTCCTCTCACTAAGTACCTGGCAGGGGGGATGCCTCTTCTTCCCTCGAGGGCCCCCTACATGCTGACGGCAGCCCTGTCCTACAAAATGCTTTCTCTTCTGACACAGGACCGTGAATGCTGGTGTGCAAGAAGGCAGTGCTGCCAAGCCCACTTTGGCCACACACCGATTCTTACTCTCACTTAGCTAAGAAGACACCAGTTCTGAAAGTGAAGATAAGACCTTGGGTGACGGTTCTTCCCTTCTTGCCTCCTACAAGGGATTCCATCTTGTATTCTCTATTACCTTTCATATGTCCTTCCAGTCCCCACTTCCAGGCCCCAGGAGGTGACATTTAAGCACCTTCTATGACCTGCCACTCCAGAATAGAACACTCCCTTGGGTTTGGGCTGGGGGTGGGGGCCGTAGCCTGAGTGAGGATTGGGAAGGCAAGGGGGGATAGGCACAACCAGCAGCCGGATTTGCATTTGTCAAGCAAGATGGAAGCAGACACTGAGTGGGCTCTGCCTCTCAGTCTACAGTCACCTCATCCATTCATTCCCTCCTTGATCCGTTTTTTTTGAGCCCTAATTACATGCCAGGCAAGGGCTTTGCACCCAGGTGCTAGGCACAGGGAGGCGACTGACCCAGCGCCTCTCTCCCAGGAGCTCACAGTTTACAACACTACTTGACAAGTGCTGGACTGAGGCAAACCCAAGGCAGTCAGGGAGGGAGTGCGCTACCTGACCTGGAGCGAGGTGGCGCTCAGGAAAGACTTCCTAGAAGAGGTGACACTTTGGTTGAGTCGAAAAGGAGGTAACTGAATGAAGCAGGAAGGGACAGACTTTCCAGATGTCAGTAAGAGTATGGACGGACATGGGGCAGAAAACCTCAGAGGGTGCTGAGGGGATGTGGCTGGGCCTGGGCGAGTGGTGGGCGGGATGGGCTGGGGGTGGCAGGGGTGAGGGCAGCCATGGCACAAGTGATGTCATGAGGGCACCAAAGAAATGCTGTCGGAAACTCACATTTTGCATTTCTTCATAATCGTCATAGCTACCACTCATGGAACACCTTCCAAATGCCGACAGCAGGCTGAGAAATTTGTGTACTTTTATCTCTAATCGTTTTGATAAACTTACAATGCAATTCTATTATCACTCTTTCTAGATGAAGAGTCTAACATCAACCAACCTAGTCAGTGAATTCCCTGGGATTCCCCACACCTGCCTGGCTCCAGAACGTAGTCTTTGTCACTGCACCTCACTGCCTCGTTAGTAAATTTCCAAATTAAGTGTGGCACTTGGACTTCATACTCCATAGAACCATGTTGATGTAATTGCACATTTTCTTAGTCCTCAGGGACTAAAACAAAGGTGGGATATAAATGATTTTACTATTATATGCCACATCCCCAGAGGTTGGAAATGGGTAATACAACAGTGTTGACCCACTTGGTAGTTTAGTAAATTTTGAATGTTACCAACATTTAAATAATTAGGAGATTTTTCTTAAAAATGTCTGATTTCCAGCTTCTCTTAACAGCAGAGGGCGAGTGTCCACACACAGCAGACACCCCCTGAATCTGAGGAGGATGCCCTCTGTGGAAGGGCCGTGCCCCCGCGTCAGTCAAAGGCCACACATCTTCCTTTGTATTTCCAACACTGACATCAAATTGCAGTTGTTGTTTACTACCACTTGTTTACTGCTATTTTTCTTACTGTAAAATTAAGAGAAAAATGAACTTGTACATCTCCTAAAAAACAGAGTTGAATATTTCAAGAAAAAAATAGGAGTGTACTTTTTTTGGTGGATGTGAAGAATATCCAAACAAAGAATGTTTACACAGAAAAATTACAACTTAAGGCACCATAATAAAACCAGCCATGACTGGTATACAGAAAAGATGGGCATTAAGAAACTTAATGGACTAAAGAATAGCAGCGTTCAGTTTTGAATGAAAATAAACCAAGTGGTCCACTGTGAAATGCTGTTCTCTATTAAGTGAAAAAATTGTCTGGGCATCAAAACCTTTTTGCAGACAACACTTTTATCAAAGAGTCTCTTTTGAATGCAGCAGAAATTATGTGTCCAGAGCACAAACAAGCATTTGCAAATGTTACAGCCACAAACATTGTAGCTCAGCCTGTTAAAAGTATGGTTGAGAACTTTCAGCATAAGTTAAATTATTGGTGGTATTTCTATTGCAGCAAATGAGACTGAGAACACAGATATAAATAATAGCACACTGTTAGCTGCATTTATTTGTGACGTTTTGAGTATTTTGGAGAGGTCAAAGAACTGTTGAACAAGAAGTTCCTGCAAGGCAAAACATCCGGAAATGGCTTATTTTGTAATGAGAAAGGTCTCAGAGGGTTGGATGGAGAATGTACTGTCCCAGGGCTCTCCCAGGGGTGGGGCTGATGTTGGATCTGTCAAGCAGCAGATCTGAGGTGGCAGTATTTTGTAGAGGCACCCTACATAAATCCATTAATTTCCTCATTCACCAGGAAGTGCTTTGGGCTAAAAAGCTAAAATGAGACAAGCCTTAGATTCATTAATTAATACCATGAATCGGCTATTCTTCTATATATCTTGGAGCAAAATTAGGTCAGCGTTTGCCTGATGAATTTGCTGGATCACTTGTGCTGAGATATGAAAGAGATTTTTTTTTTAACTGTTCATGTCATCAAAGGAAATAGTCTTATCTCCACTTAGTGGCTAAGATTGGCTTGAAGTTCTGTGCTTCTTGTTGACATTACAATTCATCTATACCTTTTGAATGTTTTTCTATAGGGGCATTCACAAGTCTTTGCACAAATGTCCTACTTGCTTTTCTCAGTCTTGACAAAATAGAGTCTTTGGGATATTCATTTGTTTAAGAATAATTTGGTCCACTTTCCCACATTGCAGTTAGTTTCCAGAAGTAAAACTGATAGCCTGAAATTCATTCTTCAAAACTGGGCCATTGAACACTGCTTTTCAAACTTCATGAAAATAAACCAGCATTAATTAGTTTACCTTTCTTAATTAGTTTTTGATAGTACAAATGAAGGGCTATGATTTGAGGTTATCAAACTGTAGTACAAAATGGTATAGAAAACTACATACGACAACGTATTGAAAGCTGGGATTGTTCACACATAATTGGAGGAAATCACCCTACTTGAGAGAACCATTTACAATGAGTCTATCCACACCAGGAAGAGCCTATGTTTAGGAGCAGCTTTGCTCTAAAATGAATCTGAAAAAACTACCTACCAACGCCAGTATATGTAAAGTATTTAAGGCTGCACACCACATATCACAGTGAAAAAATACAAGGCCTCACTATAGTTTGGTACAGAAGAAAAGATGTTGGGTTTCTGACTCTAAATCAAAGCAGTAATGAATTATAAAACAAACAAACAAAAAGTAAAAATTAAGTGAATTCTTTTTCAGTTAGTTTAAATTTTTAATATAAAATAGAATATGGATATCATATATATTTACATTAAGTCATATGCCTACCCCATAACTTAGTAAAAATAGAGAGTTTGGCTCCATTTCTGGGACTTTGCTCAGGGGGTGCCTCCCTGGCTCTTTAGACGGGGGCTACTCATTTGTTTTATAGTTATTTGTTTACAAACTTTATATCCTTTACCAGGGAGTAAGCTGTCTGAGGTTTAGGGTTTTATTTCATTCATCTTCTTATCTTCACAGCCCAGAACAGAAGTGAGCCCTTAGTAGGTGGTCGATAATTGTTGGGTAAATTGAATCGAATGGCCTCTTTGACTGTCATTCATCTACAAAATCCTGGGATAATTTCCCACCCAACAAACATGTTTAGTCAAGTCTTCAGTTCTTCTAGTCCTAGGGTGACTATTTCTCCCTGTCCCTGAGTACCCACCCAGCTGTGCCCCCTCCTTCTCCCTGGCTACAAGGCCTCCAGAGGGGGGATGGAACGGTGCAGACAGAGTCCACTAGCTGCCCCTGAGGATATGTTGCCATTTGTAAATAGGACATACTCCCTCCTGATAGAGAGGGATCAAGGGGCAGCCTTCCAGACAGGCGAACTCTTCTTGTACGATTTTATTCTCTACTACCCAACTCCACAAGATCTAGGATGGTTTATTAGTTAATATGATTTTCAAAAACCCTCTGTGACAGTTTTCTTGATCATTTTTCTGCCTTTAGTGAGAACAAGCCTTCTTGAGATGGCGTCTGATTATTTCACTGTGAAATCTCGAATTAGTGGGATGTTACTTAGAAGATAATTTTACTAAACTGACACTTGTTATTTCCAACTGTTTAAAAGCAGAGCGAGTATAAAGAGAACTTTGAACTGTTATTGTATCTTCTGATGAAACTCCTTCATGCACCAAGTAATATATGCTTTGAAAATCTCTGCTTGTGTCCCTGGGCATATACCTACCATGGCATAGAAAAATGATGGGTGAAACAGAAAAAGAAAAAGAAAACTGCCTTTACACACACACACACACGCGCGCGCGCACACACACACACTCTCACACTCTGTCTTGGTTACGTAGTTACCCTGGCGGTTTCCAAGGTAATTGCTTCTTGTTCTTCATTCAGGAATTCCTTCATGCTTATCATTTGAATGACTTCCTTGCTCAAGTGTGAAGAGAGATTTAGACATTTAGATGTAACAATGTTTGTTCAGGGATGCCACCTCCCTGGCCTGTTAACATCTTACATCACCATAGTGCAATTATCAAAACCAGGAAATTAACACCTGGCACAGTACTAGTAATTCAACCACAGACCTTTCCTGCATTTCACTGCCCTTCTCTCTGTTCCAGGATCCTCTGCGGGAGCCAACATTGCATTCAGTGTTCATGTCTCCTTTGTCTTCTCTGATCTGTGA